TTTTTTTTTTTTTTTTTTTTTTTTTTTTTTTGTTTAATTCAGCATTTAACAAATACTTCTTGACACATGGCTGAGTGCCTAACTGTGTGCCAGGAACTAGTCTTAGCTCTTCAGTGCACATTGATCGCCTTTATTGCCTGTGCTGCAGCAAGTAGGCCTTGTCCATGGGCTACTTGCAAAATCAAGGTCCTTACTGGCCTTGCATCTGTCTTTGTCCGATCAAGATCTGAGTAAATGAAGATTTGACCTCTGCTTTTTTGGAGCTCAAATTTCAACTGGGCTTGTGAAATAATAAGAGAACAATACTCAACAATAGATATTTAGTGTGAGAATGCTGAGAGAATTCAGAAAAAGGGCAAGGTTGTTGTGGTCTGGGATTCATTCACATGGGAAACCTTTAGAGAAGGTGCATTTGGAAGAGATACCAGATCTGGATTTGCGGAAAGGAGGAGATTCCTGGCAAGGCAAGAATAGGAGCGAAGTCACTGTGGTGGCCACAGGGGACCATCACCAGGCTGGGCTGAACTGAGGAGGAAGGGGAATGCTGGGAAGTGGCCGGCACATAGTGCTCAAACAGCATGAGTTGAATAAAGACAAATACTGATCATGGGTGGCTTGTGGAGGGGGGAGCAGCCCACTGAAGCTCTTTAATGCCACACGAGGAGTTTGCAAACACTCTGATTGGTAAATAAGAAACCTCCTAGGTTTTTAAGCAAACCATGACTTGATAGTAGTTTTAAAAAAAGATCAGTCTGTTGATTTATTTAACATGAATTGAAGCAGGGAAAAATTAGAGACCGAGAGGCCAGAGAGAAAGATACTTTGGGAGTTTAGACATGAGGGGATGAGAATACAGATTAAAGTGGAAAGGAGAGAACTCAAGAGATTCTGTGCAAGAAGCCTCAACAACCTTGAGTGATTGATCAGACAATTTCAGATCATAATACAAATAATAGGATAGTGAACAGTTATTGAGCAATGGGTAGACTGATGCGTTTTTATTGTTATTTATGGAGGTTATGGATGATTACTGATGAAGGACTGTGACGAGTAAAACATAACTTCTGAATTTAAGTCTTGGAATAACATTGGTGATTGCCAATGATAGAAATAGAATGAGTTAGGAAAGCAGACCCATGCTGAGTTTGCTTTTGACATATAGCCCGATAACTGCATCACAAACAGACAGCTGGAGTCTCGTGGAAGGCCAAATAATGAACGCTGGAAGGGTTACAGAGAGAGCAGGCTTGGGCAGCCTTGGCAAATGGATGACTGAAACCTTTATAAAGATAAATGTATGGGACATTCAGCTCTTGCCGTCCGCCACAGTGATGTGGCTAATAATGGAAATACTTTCATGTATCCACTCAGAGTTCATGGGCATATTCTCATTTGTCGAGCTAAAGTGTGTGCCAGGCCTTCACGGGAAAACGAGTGACTCTCCAAACCTATGCTCTCTGCATCTGCCTTCCCGTCACCTACACATCTTCTGCCCTCTGCCCTGCCTTCTCTCTCTTGGACCTCCTGCCACCACTACCCTCACACCCCCTATACAATTTTAAATGTGACAAGAGTTGCTGTGTGATCTCCATTTTTCCTGGGAAAATGCTTCTGCTGGCATTTTAGATTTTTAATGAGGACACCATCTGTCTCTTTATGGCAATGATAACTGACCCCAGGAAAAGTGCTGACCCCATGACCCATATGAACCACACAACATTGCCAAGAGCTGTGACATGCAACTCCAGTTAACTATCTCGCTTAGAAGTCAAAACACATGAAAGAGCTTACTTTATTGATTTTTATAGAATCTTAACTTTGAAAGATGGAAGGAACTCAAAAGTGATCAAATTTATTGCCTCTATGGGGAAACCAAATCCCAGAGAAGTGATTTCTGAAGACCACACAGGTGAGTGAAAAGCAGAGTTAGATCTAGAACTCAAGTCTCCTGTGTACCATTCTTAGCTATCTTCGCCACGGGTTTTCATCCTGGTTGACATTCTGTTCCTCAGAATTCTTTTGAGATGTGAACCAATTTTAAAAAATGAAATGCCAACCTATTAATTTACAGTGAAAAATATCATACCAAGTGAATCAAAATTGTGAGCCCTGCATTCCCATCTGTAGGAAAAACACATAGGAAGATTTAAATCAAAGCTTGCTTGGCGATGATGAATTCAGAGCAGAGAAATGAGAGATGTTCTTCAGATCTAGTGGACGTGGGGCAAATTTTGTGGGCAAAAGGCAGCCCCATATTCTACCTCCTTATCCATTTCATGTGAGTGCTCCCCTCCCTGCTCAAACATATTTTGCTAATTCATTCATTCATCTATTCAACAAATACCTATTGTGAACCAATTTGTGGCAGGAACTGTTCTAGGCACTGGGCATTAGTGAGCAAAACAGACCAGGTCTGAGCCCTTGTGAAACTTATATTCTTGTGAGTGAAGATAGGCCCTAACTGAATAAACAAGTAAATATAATACTGTATTTCGGATGGTAATAAGTGCTACAGAGAGCAATAAAGCAGAGTAAGTGGAAAAGACAGTAGCTTGGGTGGGGATGGAAGGTATTTCTTTTGGGTAAAAATAGCTTTGTTATAGCTTCTCTTTATTTTGTTTTCTTGCATCTTTTCTCTTTGCAATAGGGGCTACATGTATTTTCCATGTACTCTAAGTTAGAGTTGACTTTGGGTTAGATATCCTTTTTCAAAAGGAGTCTTCTTTAGGTCTTATGATGTAGACTCAATTATACAGTTGAAAAGTAAAAATAGCTTTGTTATAGCTTCTCTTTATTTTGTTTTCTTGCATCTTTTCTCTTTGCAATAGGGGCTGCATGTATTTTCCATGTACTCTAAGTTAGAGTTGACTTTGGGTTAGAAATCCTTTTTCAAAAGGAGTCTTCTTTAGGTCTTATGATGTAGACTCAATTATACAGTTGAAAGCACTGTATGAGTACCTATCTTTGAATAACTTTCATTTAAGCTCAGATTTTGAACCCCCTGAACGTCTCTCTAGGAAGGTGGCCTAGCAAACCATTCTTTGAGAGATACCAAACCAGAAATGGGACAGCCAGACCCCAGTCTGGGCAAAGTAGTGAGGTGGGTGAAGTCCCTTACATAGTGTTCAATGGCAACTTTCATGCCCACTATAATGCTAAATCCCATTTCTTATGAGGTCTTCCCAAGTCACTTCATCCATCAACAAACATTCACTTAAAGTTCTCCCAGATGCCCAACATAGCCTGTGGTGAGTGTGGAAAATATACATGACTAGTGCTCTCATCTCTAAAATGAGAGAATTGGCCTGTATGTCCTTGAAAGCCCAGCATTTCATGACTCTGGGCTCCTTTCCCCACATGAGAGGTGCTTAAAATGTTAGTTTCCTTTCCCATTCCCCACCCCCCAAATGGTTCGAAGATTAAATAGAGCAGAGGCAAAGAAACTAACCCTGACAGAACTTCGACAGGTGACCCCCAGTGGCCCTCCCAACAGTCCTCTGAGGAAGGCTGCATTCTCCAGGTGAGGACACTGAG